TTTGGTATTATGGTTTTCATCATCGGCGTGTGAGGGATGCTACATATTTACAATAGTAATATTTCTTTCTGACATGTACTTTCATTCATTCAACGGGTTTACTTACTCGTAATAAGAAACGACTAATTACAAATTTATTTTACAAATGATATATTCCAATGTAAAAGTGTAAATGATGGGTTATTCAATAATCGAAACATCTTTGTTTTATCTTATTCGGAAATCGGTGTTAACAATGTCATCAAAATGTCCCTACTTGAGGGATCCAAAATTATACTTAATTTATTTGTAAAAGGACACACTACAAATGAAAATTATCAGACTAGGCGAATTATATTATGAAATAAAACTATTGTGCTTCAGTTGACAACTTTGCATGTTTTTTAATTTGTAACATTGTAAAAGTTATTATTTTGAAACGAAATTCGTAACCAATTTAAATATTATATTTTGTATGAAATAAAATGATTTTAACGTGTTAAAATTTCTTACATATGCATGACCTCTTTTCTTTTTAAAAATGTTTGATAATTAAAACACGTTATTTCCCTTGGTTAAAATAATCATAGCTTCACAAATGGGAAGTAATATTTACTACTAGTCGACCCGCGGCGTAACATACGTCGCTATTTAGTGACCAAAGACTTTCCCCGACAGTGTTTCTTTTAGACTTTTTTTTCCAGGGACGACGACACATGAACTTTGTATATAATTCTATATGAATTATATTTCGTTAGGGGGGGGGGGGGCGTTCTTCGGAGTGGGGGGGGGGGGGGGGGGGGGGGTGGCAAGAGATGCCTGAAAGAAACTGGCCCTCGAACTGATATTTGATAGTTAATTCGGCCCTCGGGTTGAAAAGTTTGGAGACCCCTGGTTTAGACCAACGTGTGTGGCTAGCAGAAAATATACGTGCTCTTTAGCTTTCAGTTGATTATCAAAATATGTAATGAGAAGAAACTATACGCTCTCTCTCTCTCTCTCTCTCTCGTCTCTCAGCCTACATATCTCTGTCCTCAGACTTCAACGTGTGATAGAAAGTATACGCTCTCTCTCTTTCTTTCTTCCCCATGTCACTCTCCCATATCTCCCCCTCTCTTCCATCCCCCTCCCCCGTCTATCTTTCTCTACCCTCACCCTCTCTATCTCCGTCCTCAATTAGACTTCAACGTGTTTGATAAGGCAGAAGTATCCGCGCTCTCTCTCTCCCTCCCCATCTCTCTCTTCCCCCCTCTCTCTCATACACACTCTTTTCCCTCACCCTGCCTCTATTCTTCTCTCTCTCTCTCTCTCTCTCTTTCTTTCTTTCTTTCTCTCTCTCTCACTCTCTTTCTCCCTCTTTCTCTCTCTCTCTCTCCCTTTCTCACTCTCTCTCTCTCCCTCTCTCTCTCTCTCTCAGACTCCAATGTATTCGAGATTTTCACGATGACATGATCTCAGCGACTTTTATCCCCTCTCTGTTAATTTACACCATAAGTATTATGCACTCTCGCGACATATTTTAGATTATTCACATTTTTATCATGCAAACTGGCCGGCCAATTCTGCTTCACCTGCGATGTAGACATGAACCACCTTAACTTTTACATTGGATTACAAAGGAAAAACAAACTTGAAATACTTTAATTGTTTAGAATAACTTAACTAGTACTATTTATGGTCGAGAGGTTCTTTAGCCCCCCCCCCCTCCCCCCCCCCCTCACACACACGTTTGATACCCCGAAGGTCAGCTTACGTGTACTGATGACCAAAGGTAAAATATGATGTAGTTTGTTTTATGGCAAAAAAAAAGTTTAAAAAAAATGTTCGTTATGATAATGATGTCCCTTGTTAAGAGATCCAAAATTAATTCAAATAGTGAAATAAACCAAATTTTCTCTTAAGATGATAAACTATTTAGAACTACTTATTTAAAAAGTGCTAATGTGTTTGTGCTTTCAACTATTAATGATTTTTAATTTATCGCGTTACAAAAGTAATTACTTTGAAAAGATTTTAATTTATTTTGAATATTTGTTTTAATCAACAATAAAATTAAACTCAGTGTTTTAGAATTTGTTATTTATGCATGACTTGTTTTTCTCGAAATAGTTTTTAGCAATTTAAGTATAGATTATTTCCCTTGTATAAAATCTTTTGTGAAGGGAGGTAATTTATATTCTAGCCCTCAACACCTTCCTCCATTATTTTGCATTGATTAACATCGATCATTATTATTTAGTTTTATTTTTGCAGTAAACGGACTGTTAATAAAAACATAATATTTGTGAACGGGAATATAATGTATATAAGTTCTAAAGAAGAAGGCTTTCGTTGAATAAGTAACGCATGCGTAAAAATGCGTACAACAAGTTAAAAGTAGAAAATAAATGTTCTTTAAATATATAACAATGCGCTACTCTTATATTAGCTAGAGCTATGTAGATTTGGGTTATACGTAGATTTGGGGCCATATGTGGATTTGGGGCCATATGTGGTTTTGGGCCCTATATAGATTTGGAGCCACTTGTGGATTTTTGGCTATTGGATAATGGACCATATGTGGATTAAGCAGACATATCAATGTGGATTTAGAGCCATATCTGGATTTGGGCCATATGTGGATTTGAAGCCATGTGTTGATTTGGGGCCATATGTGGATTTGAAGCCATATCTGGATTTGGGCCATATGTGGATTTGGGGCCATATGTGGATTTTTGGCCATATATGGATTTTTTGTCATATGTGGATATAGGGCCATATGTGGATTCGGAACCATATGTGGATTTGAGGCCATATGTAGATTTGAAGCTATATGTGGATGTAGGGTAATTACTAGATTTTGGGCCATATGTGGATTTGGGGCCCTATGTTATTTTTTACTTTCTCGTATATACGAAGTATAGAGAAAGTCTTGTAATCGTGCAAAAAAAAAATCGAGATTTTTGCAAATCTCGACGTTTTACATCTCACTGATACGGAAAAACATAATTTTGCAATCTTGTCCGTATGTCTGTGTGTGTGTGTGTGTCCGTGTGTAAACACGATAACTTGAGTACCGTTACAGCTAGGTTGATGAAATTTCATATATAAGTATTTTATCAAAATCGTAGATCCGTATCAACTTTTGAGCGATTTCCGATAACCGGAAGTGGTACTTTTTCTACTTTGAATTTTTCAAAAGCCTATAACTTAAGTACTATTTCAGATAGATAAATGAAATTTGATATGTAAGTAAAAGATCTAATTCTCTACCTTCTGTCAAATTTTGAGTAATTTCCGTTGACCGAAAGTACTTATTTACGCTATTTCCGATTTCTCAAAAAACGCGTGTAAATTTATAAAGTACTAATAAGATTGCGCACTATTATGCACATCTTTATTTAGCGTTCACTTGGTGTGCATTTCTTTTTTCTACGAGATTATATTCTATTTTTAAAAATTTGAGTAATTAAAGTGGATTAAAAATTATGTCTAGAAGTCTATATCCCGAGTTGCCATCCCCCATAGTGTTATATTAGAATATTCGAGAAAGTTTAGGGGAGATCACTCCCGGTTTATTTTGGTTGGGTTTTGTCAACTTTACAAAGTATAATTCAAGTAATTCTCTTGTTACACATTTAGTTCAAAGTAACTTCTACAATCTATAGTATAAAAGCTATAATAAAACTCTAAGAAAGGCTACATAAAAAAAATTATAGCAGAATTACTTTCAAACTTCACCCATCAAACCCTGAAATTGCCATAATTAGAAAATTTTTCCACCATTTTGTATCTAACCCGATCCTTCACAAAAAATATCCTTTCCCCCCCCCCCCCCCCCCAACCCCCTTCACTAGGTTTGTCTGACTTATCCGACTGCTAAGGTGTGGATGCTGATTCGTTCTTTAATGTGACATGTAATTGTTTGTGACACGTCATTTGGCACGCATATATCTGAGGAAATAATCGACAGCGCTCGCTGGCTGTCAAAATGTTTGTTGTGTAGGATCAATCATAAACACGCATGTCAATATTTAGTTTGTGTCATCTCTATAATTAGACATTGGCGTCCTTTTGTTTGGCAACAAAGGAATTTTTAAGGGAACAGTTCGGTTCATTAAAAAATATAAACAATGTATGAGCAGGAAGCGATGACAGCTGGTGTTTATGTCTAGACGGCTCGTCTTTGATTTCTCAGGAAGCAGCCGCATGTGTCTTGTGTTTGATAATTAAAAGCAGCCAACACAAGATTATTGTGTTAGCAAAAAAAAAAACCGTTCCTTTGACAAGCCATGCGGTGGGCATGTTGGGTTTAATCATCTGTTTACAACTTTAATTTCGTGGCACGCTTAACATCGCAGACGCTAGCTGTTGTTCGTTTCACACACACACACACACATACACACACACACACACATACACACACCACACACACACACATACACACACACACACACATACACACACCACACACACACACCACACGCACCACACACACACACACCACACCACACCACACCACACACACACGCAACACGCACCACACACACCACACACACACACACACACACACATACACACACCCACACACATTTACCGATAATCCGCCCCTGATGCTATGGTAACCTTGTGACTGTGTATTGTATGTCGTCTTATGTATAAAGAAGGTTATGATAACTACATTGTACAACCTTTCGCTCTACTCTCCACTACACCAACAACATAATACAACATTTCGTACTACTGCCATTATACCAACTACAAAATACAACATTTTATCCAACTTTCCACTATACCAACTATAAAATAGATGTTGTCATATTCTCCACTATACCAACAATATAATTCAACCTTCATCATACTATTCTTTGCTTCAATCATTCCCATCTTGTTTATTTTAATTACGTTTTCAAACATGGATCTAACGTTTTAAGCCAGGTTTAAACAATAAAATATTGAAGCTTCACTGATGGATGTAAACTCAGTGTGGTCCGGACGCGGCCCGCGGTTCTTTATGTTTCAAACATAGAAGAGAAACTAACCTGAAAGACGTAGGTCTCCTCAAACTTTGGGTGACAAGTTTTCCTGCGGAATTTGGACTGTAGGTACCGCCTCTCGTCTGGCATCAGGAATAACCTGAGTGGTGGAGTAAAGTAAAATTATTTGATCAAATAGTGGAGGTAGAGTAAAATTGTTTGATCAAATATTGGAGGTAGAGTAAAATTATTTGATCAGGAATAACGTGAATAGTGGGCTAGAGTAAAGATATTTGATCAGGAATAACATGCATGTATATCTCCTTTTGCCTGCTCGTGCCCAAGACACATATGATCTCGGCATATGAAGCACTATGCCCAGCCGCCTTTGCTTTCTCTCACAAGAGTTAGGTACCCATCATGGCTGGGTCGACTCAGGGACTTTCTACTGAATTGAACCCGGATTCAAACTCGCGACTTTCGGATTAGCAGTCGAGTTCTCTATCGCTAGGCCACACATTCCCATAACTTGCATGTTAGGTGTAGAAAAAACAATGATTCGATCAGGATTAACCTTCGTATTTGATATTTTTAAAGATGATTTAATCAGAAATAGCTTGTGTTGCAGACGTAAAAAAGGTTTTGTAGACAAAATGTGCATGCAATAAATTATGAAAAAATTAATCAATTTTAAACTTGTTTAGCTAATGTCCACCATCTGATGTCTTTTCTTACGGCTAATCCCGTGATTGCGTGCACTATACGAGCTATGTAAACACATTTTTTTGCATCACGTGGTTTACTGCACTATACGAACTATGTAAACAGTTTTTTAATCACGTAATTTACTGCACTATATGAACTATATAAACACAGTTTTTTAAATGTCAACACCGCCCTACACCTTATTCTTGCCTGTGCAGCCGCATCTATATTCAATAGTCTAACCACCTTCCTGCACAACCACCTCACACCCCACCCATCCTACGATTGCCTACACTACCCCACCCATCTTCCGATTGCCTACACTACCCCTACCCATCTTACGATTGCCTACACTACCCCACTCATCTTACGATTGCCTACACTACCCCACTCATCTTACGATAGCTTACACTACCCCACCCATCTTTCGATTGCCTGCACTACCCCACCCATCTTACGATTGCCTACACTACCCCACCCATCTTTCGATTGCCTGCACTACCCCACCCATCTTACGATTGCCTACACTACCCCACCCATCTTTCGATTGCCTACACTACCCCACCCATCTTTCGATTGCCTACACTACCCCACCCATCTTTCGATTGCCTACACTACCCCACCCATCTTACGATTGCCTACACTACCCCACCCATCTTACGATAGCCTACACTACCCCACCCATCTTTCGATTGCCTGCACTACCCCACCCATCTTACGATTGCCTACACTACCCCACCCATCTTTCGATTGCCTGCACTACCCCACCCATCTTTCGATTGCCTGCACTACCCCACCCATCTTACGATTGCCTACACTACCCCACCCATCTTTCGATTGCCTGCACTACCCCACCCATCTTACGATAGCCTACACCACTCCCATCTTACGATTGCCTACACTAGCCCACCCACCTTACGATTTCCTACACTATCCCACCCGTCTTACGATTGCCTACACTACACCCACCTTACGATTTCCAACACTACCCCCGCGATTGCCTACACTACCCTACCCATCTTACGATTGCCTACACTACCCCACCCATCTTACAATTTCCTACACTGCCCCTGAGATTGCCTACACTACCTTACCCATCTTACGATTGCCTACACTACCCCACCCATCTTACAATTTCCTACACTGCCCCTGAGATTGCCTACACTACCCCACCCACCTTACGATTGCCTAGACTACCCCACCAATCTTACGATTGCCTACACTACCCCACCAATCTTACGATTGCCTACACTAACCCTGCGATTGCCTACACTACCCCACCCATCTTACGATTGCCTACACTACCCCACCAATCTTACGATTTCCTACACTACACCCACCTTAGGATTGCCTACAATACCCCCACCCACCTTACAGTTGCCTACACTACCCCACCAATCTTACGATTGCCTACACTACCCCAGCGATTGCCTACACTAACCCAGCCATCTTACGACTTCTCAGCCGACAACTCTCGCAGAAAATGTCCCGATTGATATGTGGACCGCCAGATTTACTGGGCGCGCAACTCAATTTACATAGAAATCGAATCGCGGCGCCAGACAATGGCTTCTTGCAGGTCTGCGCTCTCTCTGCCTCTCTCTCTCTCTCTCTCTCTCTCTCTCTCTCTCACCCCACCCCCCCCCTCTCTCTCTCTCTATCTCACTGCCGGCATCTGATTACGTCAATGCAAGATTACGCCGAGTTGACCGATACAAGATCACGAACGTGATCTGGGGGACAGTGCGCGTCACGTGACCACGCCGGCACGTGATCACGTCCATGCCAGATGACGCCGAAAAGGCCGATAACACATTGCGAACGTGATGTCAGTACACTGCTTGTCACGTGATCACCCCTGTGGGAGGGGATTTCTCGAGATCAAGTCACCACAAGATCACGTCACCACAAGATTACCTCACCACAAGATTACCTCACCACAAGATCACGTCACCACAAGATCCCGTCAGCACATTATCACGTCACCACAAGATCACGTCAAAACAAGATCACGACACCACAAGATCACGTCACCTCAAGATCACGTCACCACAAGGTCACGTCACCTCAAGATCACGTCACCACAAGATCCCGTCAGCACATTATCACGTCACCACAAGATCACGTCAAAACAAGATCACGACACCACAAGATCACGTCACCTCAAGATCACGTCACCACAAGGTCACGTCGCCACAAGATCACGTCACCACAAGATCACGTCAACACAAGATCACGTCACCACAAGATCACGTCACCACAAGATCACGTCACCACAAGATCACGTGCCGTGATGTACCTACAGTACCCCAGCATCACGCTGCAGAGATCCGTGACACGGAGGTACTATAAGTACTGTTGTCTCATGTCATGATCACGTGATATCATGCTATCAGCTCAACTATTGACACATTCCTTACAATTAACTTTTGTCGTAAAATCGAGGAATTTTTCAGTCCCTTTTACATTTTAACGTCTGCGTTTAGTTTTTTTTTACACATTCCTTACAATTAACTTTTGTCGTAAAATCGAGGAATTTTTCAATCCCTTTTACATTTTAACGTCTGCGTTTAGTTTTTTTTTTCTTAGCCAATGAAAGAACAGGGATTTCTTTCCATTTCGAATTACTAGTCACAAATTATGTGAGGCTCTCACGCAATACATAGATCGGATTATTCAATTTACGCTGGAAAAATGGTAACAGTATAGGGGGCAGCACCCATATCCCACTGAATGTTTGTAATAGTATAGGGACCAGCACCCATATCCATTTGAGTAGTTGTAATAGTGTAGGGACCAGCACCCATATCCAACTACATGGTTGTAATATTATAGGGACTATCACCCATATCCCACTAAATGGTTGTAACAATGTTGTAACCAGCACCCATATCCCACTGAATAGTTGTAATAGTGTAGGGACCAGCACCCATATCCCACTAAATGGTTGTAACAATGTTGTAACCAGCACCTATGTTGTAACCAGCACCCATATCCCACTAAATGGTTGTAACAATGTTGTAACCAGCACCCATATCCCACTAAATGGTTGTAACAAACCAGCACCCATATCCGACTAAATGGTTGTAACAATGTTGTAACCAGCACCCATATCCCACTAAATGGTTGTAACAATGTTGTAACCAGCACCCATATCCCACTAAATGATTGTAACAATGTTGTAACCAGCACCCATATCCCACTAAATGGTTGTAACAATGTTGTAACCAGCACCCATATCCCACTAAATGATTGTAACAATGTTGTAACCAGCACCCATATCCCACTAAATGATTGTAACAATGTTGTAACCAGCACCCATATCCCACTAAATGGTTGTAACAAACCAGCACCCATATCCCACTAAATGGTTGTAACAATGTAAGGGACAGCACCCTGAACAGTGTAGGGACTAGCACCTATATCCCACTGAATAGGTGTAACAATGTAAGGGACAGCACCCTGAACAGTGTAGGGACTAGCACCTATATCCCACTGAATAGGTGTAACAATGTAAGGGACAGCACCCTGAACAGTGTAGGGACCAGCACCCATATCCCACTAAATGACTGAAACGGAAGTGACTGGCCCGCGCATTAAAATTAATCAATTAGAAATCTTCCTCAAATTATCCTCCCCAAAGAACCCACTCCTGCTATTTCCCATGCGATGGACCCTGACTCGTGTTTTGTGAATAAAATATAACAATCTTTTAAATGTACCGGAGCAAAAATTATCGATTCATTTTTTTTTTTTTAATGAACGACAGCATGGGGCCGCTATTTTTATCTCGAATTTTCGCGCTTGCCTCCCTTGAAGCATTACTCCATCCTGTTGTCGTCTGCCTGTGTTTTTTTGGCTCACGAGATTCGTCTGCTCGATGTTAACTTTTGTTTTCGTGGTTGTTTTTTTTTTTACCCCAACGATGTGAAAAAAAAATTGTATTTGACCCTTGAATTTTGAGGACACGAAGATCACGGTTCCCATTACAAAGAGCTGAATTGTCCCCGTGGAAAAAAAATGGAAAGAGTGAAATAGAGAATCTCACAAAATACGATTAAACTTGATGTCGAATTATGGTTTTTAACACAACATAGTTCAGAGACGCTTTATTGTTTTCCAAAATCTAAGGTTGTACTGCATATATTTCACATAATTAATTTTTTTTTACATTTTTCTTTTCAAAATTCGATACAAATGTCTGTTTTTCACAAAAAATATTGCTTAATTTTATTTTATTTGTTTTAATTGGAGAGCTTATCTTTTTTCCTTCTTTTCTGTGTTTGTAGCAGTGCGTTTCTTTTTGTTTAAATTCTTGCTATCTAGAGTTGTCCAAAAACTAAATAATGAGATTTCAAAGAGCCCGTACTAGTGTTATCAGTTTTGTGATTGTTTTCCCGCTTAAAATATAATAGTACACGAATGTATATTTTATATTCATTGAATTTATTATAC